CTCATGTTGACTTTATTCGGCATTTTTCGATATAACAGTAGAGCCCGCGCGCCGAAAAAGACGATATGGATCGGGCTGGTTTACTTAATACGAAACCGCGGGGCGTCCAAAGCGATTATGGGATGCGACGCTGCGGCGAGTTTCGTATCGTCTGCTCCTGTGTACAGCTTTCGTCTGCTCTTTAATTTGCTTTTTAGTCCGCTTTACCGTCTGCTATATGGTCGTTGTAGAGCAACAAGGTACTCTGCGGCGTAGTAATTGGACTGGATGAGGGGATGTAGGGTTTGTTATGGATCGGTAGATTACTAAATCTACTATAGTGTTGAAGGAAACCGATCTGTCGTTATGGAAAAAAGTAAAAACAAATCGATTGACCTGGTTAGGTTACCCGTTAAAGTACACCTTTCGGCGTAGTACAGCGGGCGGCGATTATAACTGACTACCGCGAAGCAGTTTTGCCTTGTGCATAAAATTCGAGTTACAACGAAAAGCATCGTCTGCTGGTATTCTAGAGAAGTATACGGTGTTGACTTACGAAAGGCCATGATTAAAAGGATGGCGTTCGTAAAGATGGCTAGGGGTGATTGCAGCTTCTGGAGGTGGATTAGTTCTTACTGTGTAGTTTTGACATCGAACACAAAGGGGGATTTTCCCGCTCAGAAAAAGAATGGCTTCATTGTCCGTGAAAACGCGCTAGCTATGAGGGTTATTACTCAAGTGCTACCGAAGCTTGTTCCATTTCTTTTTGTTGTTGTTAAACAAAGGGGTTTAATGTTGCTGCTCCTGTTGCGCAACGGGAAGGGTTTCTTATTAACCCGTTATAACTGTGGTCTATTCACTTAGTCTGTTAGCTGTGAAGTATAATGTGCCGGCTTGCTTTGATGCAGTTAGAGATATGTGAGTATACGTTTATTTTGGCTAAATGCTTTCTGGGATTTTCCCTCTAGAGCTAGCAAGTTTACCAAGCTGTGACTGAGGTCGCGTAAATATATTAAGTTTCTAGGTGACTGCTTCTGAAAAAAAATGCGATTTTGTTTCTGTTTTATCGTTCTGACACTCCGAGTCAGGCTTTGGTTCTGGCTTTATGCAAAATCAATGCTCTTTTTGGGCTGGTCATTTCAAGCATGTGTGAGTGCTGTGGTGGTGTGCCCATAGAATATGTACCAAGCGTCAAAGCTAACGCCGATAGTTTTTCGGTCTGCCACCGAAATGTTCTGTATGTAGCTATGCTATAGTTCACGCCCTGACAGGCCTAAATAAAGCTTTTCATACACATAGACGTGTACGTTTTCTCATGCCGTGTAAAAAAAAAAAAAAATGTGCTGAAGGTATCCACCAGTGTTGCCTAACTGTACTTCGCAATGAAGTCGGTGTCGAAACCTTATCGAAAACGTCCATTTCTGAGGCAGTTGTGACTGTGTAGCTGTAAGCACATCGCAAATACACGTACAGCCGTCAGCGTTTTTAACACGAACACTTCGATGCGTGGCCAGAGCTTTAGTTTGATTGACGCCAACCGAGAGGTGCTGGGTGCTTTTGTTGAGATAATACCTCGGTATAGGCTTGGGTAGTATGTCGGCATGTATGGTTAGCATCTTGGCAACAGAACCCAAGCGTACGTGGCGTCAGCGTCAATCAAAATGTTGCAGGGCACGCTGCTGAGCGTTCGTGTTAAAGGTGCTGACGGCTGTACGTTGTTCGCATGACCCATGCTAAGCATGAAAATCCGCCCGCCAAACAGCGCGTCCCAGCTGCGAAAATATTGAACGTTGTCTTATGTGAGGCGTCGTTGCTTTGTTTCTACAGAAGTGCACGAGACACGTACTACAGAGGGACGGACGGAAAAAACTTTATTTAAAAAAGAAAAAAACCCTGCAGCGTTACCGGTCCGGGCTCGGCCCACCCCGACGTTTTGTGCGGTGAGGCGTAGCCTTTCCACCGCTGTCCGGGCCCGCTGGATTGCCCCCGCTGAGTGTCGCATAGATAGAGCGCTGTTCCGCGTCTAAGCCAGAGCTGAATAGCATGCGTCCCTGTCTTAAGTGAGCGAACGAGGCGTTGACAAAATGCACTGCATGCATTTTTAGGGCTTCCTTTTCTTTAGCTTGGCTCTGTGCCAGCTCACCTTTTGTGCGCTAGTCGAAGATAAGAAAAAAAAAAAGGAAAACCTCGCGTGACAACGTTGCGAAGACCATACTTGTTTCCTGCCAACGTGTTTAGTTATTAAGTATTGCTTCAGTTTTATTTTTGCCTCTGGCGCGAGGACATATTCTCATCCGCTTAAGGTCTCGACTTCGGCTAAGCGTCTTTTTCACTGTCGTTTGCAAGCTTACGCGTCTGTTTTTTTCGGGAATGTGCGCCGCATTTATTTATTTTTTACGACTTTTTTTCTTGCTCAATTTTGTTTTTCGTCTGCTGTGGTGCTGTGTTTACGTCTGCTCGTTGCGCCGTGTTGTATCCGCTTATTGCTTTGTTGCGTTTCGGTTAAGAGGGCGGTTTGCATCGTCTGCTGGCAGCGCGTTTTGTTTGTCAAGGTATATAGCGTGGTCGTCTGCTTGTTGCTTAACGGTCGTCTGCTGACTGCTTAGAGGTCATATGCGCTAATTGTTTAGCAGTCATCTGCGACCGTTATAGCGGTTGTCTGATAACTGCCTAGCAGTCACCTGTGGGCTGCTCAGCGGTCGTCTCCTATAACTGTGCAGCGGTCGCCTAGACTGTAGCTGCTTTGCGTTCGTCTGTTGGATTTTTAGCGGTTGTCAGCTAACTATTTAGCGGATATCTGTTAGCTTCTTTACAGTCGTCTCTTGTCTGCTTAGCAGTGATCTGCTCAGCGGTCGTTTGCTGGCCGCATAGCGGTCTTCTGCGTTAGCTTTCGTCTGCTTACTGGTTAGCCATCGTCTGCTAGCTACTCTGTGGTCGTCGGCATCATTTTTAATCAAAATTATTCTTCCACTCGGCTGCGTCTGCCTGTTAGCGGAACTCTCGCGCACCTATATATACTTTGCTCAAGAGTTTTTTTTCAAAGGCGCGTCTGTTTATGTACATGCACAGATAACAGAGGATGTGCTTACTCTAATGTAAGGAGATAGAGCGTCGGGGAATGGGGCTAGGTATAAAAACGGGTTCCGTTATCAAGATTGCCTTGGCTTGGCTCCGCGCGCCATCCTCCGCTACTGCAAGGATCGATTTGAAGAGGGTGCTGCGCGTGCTGAGCCGGGAATCGCTGAACCGTATCGATTGAATACGTGACTCCAATCGCGATGGCATCCAGCTGCTGACAGAACAAGGGCATCCCCAGTCGGGAGAGGCGCCGGATAAAGCAGTGCCGACGAGTCAGGGCGTCTGGCCGAAGGAACAACGTGAAGGACTAAAAAAAAAAAACATGTACCAAACAACGTGAAGAACAACGCGACTGCCAGTGGGATAGGCAGCCGCAGGTGGTGTTGTGTGAGACACTTTAACAAACGGTTTGTAGGCTCAGCAAACAGCCGAGTGATGTTGTAGAATGATGAAGGCCCGAGATGGCTGCTTCGACGCAGAATACACGTATCTGTTTATAGGACCGCGAGTCTAAAAACAATGGACCTATTTGAAAAAAAAAAAAAAAACAGCCGCGTCGCGAATGCTTGGGAGGAGATACGCCTTTAGGGAATTCTTATCGCGTGCGTATCGCGTAACGAAAGAGTGCGTATTGATCGCGCACGGCGCTAACAGCGAGGCCACGAAGTTTTCGTGTTTGAAATGCTACGCCATATAGGGATCGTTTAATTCTGTTTGGATAGTTGTTAAGTGGTTCGGAGTTGTTCTTACTGGCTTTTCTTCTGTTTTGTTTTTCTTCATTGCGTAAAAGCGTTCGCGTGAGGGTAGCTTTTTTTCGTGACGTTCGCATTTAGCATAGGGGGGTGGGGGGTGAGGGGGGCGCTGATAGTTCACTTGAACGTGACGCCCTCGAAACTGTAGTTATAGTGATACAAACCCTGCTCATCTAGTTGCTTATCTGCTGCAGAGCTTTCTTCTTTAAGATCACGTCTTCAAAGTTGCCGTTTATTTATTTGATCTGCTTTTTTAGCTGGTGCGGTGTCCACTGATATGAAAGGCCTGGCTGCCGAATGTGGAGGCAATGGTCACGGTGCCCGATTGTGATATCGCGTTCTATATACTCTCGAAAGCGAAGCTCAAATGTCCTTCAAGTTATTTTTTTCAACATGTGCCATTTGGTTTTCAACATCTCTACGTTGTGTGAAAACGTGTGAGAAGTTAAAACACACAGGTTCTCCACATGTATGCGTAAGAGTGACGTGAAGTTTGGATGTTTTATTGTGAAATCATTATATCTACCGGGCGCAACGTACAGTTGCAGTCTTATAGACTTCCGAACGCTCCATGAGAGAGGCTGGGATAGTAATTATCATTTTATTAGTGTTGTCTAATTTCGCTTAATGGTATTTCTCCAGAGCACTTGGGCACTTGTGTCCCTGTCTGGAATTCGTGTGCTGTGGTTACAGATTTAAGCCAAGGCCTTGTTCGAAGTCGTATTTATTTCATACACTTGTAATATAGTTGCGTAGTGTACATGTGGCGTATATACTGCGGTATAGTTGGGGCCGAGTTACAGTGCTCGCTTCCGTTGCGTTGGCACGGACAGAACCATTTGCGGTATGAAGTTTCATTTTTATTGTGGCAAGCTACACCACCGTGATTTTAAACCGCCACTTTTCTCGTAATAATCAACCGTTCAATAACTAGGGGCTCGGTCTTCGTGTGAGAATCGGCACGTGGCCGTGAAATTTTGACAAATGCCGCGTAGGGAGAGCTTCGATCGGTTTCCTCAGCGTGGCGCCACTAGTCGACATTTTGCTTTCTTTCCTTCTCTCCATCTGAACTGGCGCAGCGCCGCCGTGCTCTTCCGGTTCGTCTGCTACAACCGCGTCGTCTGCTACAGCCGAGAGCGGCGGCGGCGGCCCGAAGCCGGCTGCTCATTCTCGAAAACCGGGCCGTCCTCAGTCGGCCTCTGGCGGCTTGGTGGTGCGGACGAGCGTCGGTTGTTGCCGTCATCGTTGCGTGTGCGGGCGCGCGTGTTTGTGTGTTCAAAGCGAGAAATACGCGTAGTAGTAGGGGGGCGTGCGGCCCTGTTTTTCCAGACGTCTGCGCGAGCAGACGCGAATGTCGCGTCGTGGCGCACGGTCGTCGTCTGTCACGTACCTGACACAAAAGAATATCGTCGGGCAACAGGTCGTCTGCTGCCCGCTCGACGTCCCGAAGCGTGCACTAGAGCGACCGCTGCTCGCTTGACGTGTTGAAGTGCACCAGTTCCGTCTGTCACATGCCCGACGTGTTGAAGAAGTGTGCACCAGTTCGTCTGTTACTCACTTGAACGCGTTGAAGAAGTTTGTGCCTTAACTTCTGTTCATCGCTTAAAGGTGTTGGTGAAGAAGGTTACACCTTATCGTCTGTCACTTGTTTCACGTTTTGAAGAAGCTGGCGCCAGGTCGTCTGTCGCTCGCCTGACGCACCTCGCTGGAACTTGTTGAAGAAGTGTGCACCAGAACGTCTGCTGCTGGCCTTATATATATTGAAAGGGTGCACCGTATTGTCGTCTGCTTTCTTGACGTCTCGAAGGGTGCTGGTAGCGGCGGCGGTGTGTGCAGTGAACTTGTCTGATTAGCCGTTGTGTTGACTTGGGAACTAAACCTCCCTGCGTACTTCGAAAGCTCTTATATCCCCTGCCTGTCTTCACGTGATCGACTCGGAGGCTCGACATCAGCGCGAAAATCGAGGGCTTTGTTCTTTTGTCTTCGCGGCCATCTCTTGGCGTTCGTTTCCCGCGCCAAGAAAAGAAGGGGGCCGTAGTTTAGTCTGCACTCGGTCGGTCCTCGTCGTCAGCCCAGTCTGGTGCTTCATCGTGGCACAGCCCCACCATCGTCATGAGGATTAACGGCCACAAGGAGGTTCGCTTCCAGGACAGCTGCGACGAAGGCGGCGGAGGAGGCGTCAGCCAGGAGCAGACGATGCGTGAAGACGGTGAGGCATTTCGGTCCTCTTTGTGGCTGATATCTCTACTTAGGTACAGTGTACTAGAAGCGTAACTTAGGTATATAGACTATTTTACGGATGGGTTGATCTCTCTGTTTTGGGCTAAACGGACAGTGTTACGAATGAATATGGTTGGGTTGCGGCATACGATGCTTCATGTCCTTTTTAATTCACGTCGCGATATTCAAAAAACAAGGAAACGCAGACTTAAAAGACCAAGACCGCGGCGCCCAGATGTCTTACGGGAATTGTCTATGCGTACTATTGTATCGGGGTTCGCAGTGGGACAGGTGTTCCCGTAAACTAGAAACAGCTCGCGGTTATACCTCCGACGTATGCGCCCACGTTCGCCGTGCACGAGATTCAGAAGGTGGCTAAGATGCCGATGCTTATCGGTTGTGACACACAATGAATGGTGGGAGGAGGGGTTGTGTGTTGAAAACGCCAGAAACGCAGATGCACTTGAACACGGTTGTACAACCTCACATAAACATAATAAAGCCACTCCAAACAGCGTGAATGCCTTATAGTCACGCGATTGTGTTGGCAAATAAAACCCCACTATTAAAAACGTAACTTAGAAGGCTGTAATGATCTTGTATCTCCCACCGCTCCTCATTTTGTGGGTGAGGTCATGAATTGGCAGTTATTTGACTCCGACGTTCTTCAGGCGAGCAAGTGCACACTGTGGGCGGTTGCAACTTCTATTCGAGTTATGATTGGAACGCACTCCTGTACTCAATCTTGTGTTGTGCTCGGCTTATGAAAAAAGCCCCACGTGACCAGAGATAAACTGTTTCCCTGCTTCTCCAAGTAGTCTTGCTGTCTTTCTGAGTCGTTACATCCATATACAGTCGCGATCAGTAATCAATAACTCGGGTGATCCTTTTTCGAGGGAAATATGTGTATGGGAAGATATACTTGGCTCTCACATGTTGTAATCGTGCGTGATGTCAAGCTGCTACTCGATAATTCTTATCTGAATGTTGGTGCTTGCATGTACTTAGCCATACATGTAATTGGCCTGGAAAGCATAATTTGACCAAAACTGGGACGAAGTAGGAAAAAAAAACGCCATACAAGATAACGAGGACTGCATGGGACGTAGATTTCGGGCACATCGACCAGGTTTTAAGCGCCGAAAATTGTACGTTCGGAAGAAAGATGTGCCGTGCTCCTCGTTATTGATTATCGAGTGGCAAAACCCACTTAATTGATGAGCTACAATACGCAACATCTGACTGCGTACTTTTGTCGTCCGCTGTGGTGCTCATTACCCGAGTTGTTTCGCTTGGACGGGCAAAAGAGGGCGCCTTCGCGCTTCCTCTTCAATTAATGGCTGCTTGTACTTTTCGTGTGGAGCTGGGCCGCATGTGGCGATTACAGAGTTTTCGCAGAGCTGACACGAAACTGACCAATCGGGAGTAAGTTGTACGCCAAACCGCGCGTTTCCTGCGGTAGTTTTGTCGAGTACGCTCCTCCCGAAATTCGCAATATATAGTGTACGTCGTCAAAGGCATCGCTGATGACACGTTCTGGTCGTTATTATAGTTAACGGTCTTTGCTGGTCAGTTTTCCGGTCACGTTTCGAAACAGGTTGGGCTGCGTCTTAAGCTATAGCGTTAACCGCACACGAGAGTTCTGTTTTTTGAAGAAAAGGAAGAACATTGTTAGTAATGGTTAAAGGTCGTACGGGGTCATCAGCTCGATATGTGGGGCCCGAAGTCCATGCATGGACAATGACATGATGTTGCCTGCCTGACGTTTTGCCTTCTCGCCCCGCCGTGGTGGTCTAGTGGCTAAAGTACTCGGCTGTTGACCCGCAGGTCGCCGGACCAAATCCCGCCTGCGGCGGCTGCATTTCCGATGGAGGTGGAAATGTTGTAGGCGTGTGTGTTCAGATTTGGGTGCACGTTAAAGAACCCCAGGTGGTCGAAATTTCCGGAGCCTTCCACTACGGCGTCTCTCATAATCAAATAGTGGTTTTGGGACGTTAAACCCCACAAATCAATAATACATATAACGTTCTACCTTCTCTGTTTTCATGTTAAGCCATCTTTCTTGTAGCTCTTTTTTTTTGTATACTAGCTGCCCCTTAGCTTTTTCCACATATCTCCTCTTCTATAGATGCAGGACACTTTATTATGTGCTATCATTTGGAACAATAAATATGAACTTGATGCGATTGCTAGACTTACTCGTTTCGAAGTAACGGATGTTATTGACAGGAACGGCGCCAGGGGAGCCCCATGATTATATCCGATTCTCTATACATTTTGTGAAATTATTCGTTTTCAGTTCTTATTGGTCAAGTGGACCGTTAAAAGCGCCCTCTTGTTGTTAATCCAACCAATGAACACGGGGGTATTCTACGATTTTTCCGAAGAGCACCACCGTTCACCATATGATGCATGGCTGGCTCCATTGTAACCGATGGAAGCTCTCTTATCGGCGGATTGCAGTAAAGCTGCATTTTTGTTCATCGTAGAATATTTCACAGCGCTACTGGTTTAGAGACGGACAGAGAAGAGACACGGCGCTGACCGTCGCTATAACCCGTTGCGCTGTAAAATATTCTACCATGAACATCCACCAACTTGCCCAACTCGCGATGTTGTATTCTTGTGTTGCGCCGTGCGGGTATTTGAAGTGTTCCCTTTTTAAGGACTCCCGTTGATCGCGCCTTCCACGCATAAAAATCCTGCCCCCGCAGCTCGTCTCTCCTAAGAAAATCCCGCGAGCAGCCTGCCTACAGCTCGCCCGAGAGTGCGATTCTATAGGGCGGCCGCACAATGCTAGAGTACCCCCTCATCCTGGTGAAAGCTCCGCTTTCTTTAGCTCGTTCTTCTTTGCCGCCCCCCGCCCCCCTCTTTTTTTCTCTCAATCCCCTGTGTGAAGTTCGCGATCAATGATGCAGTGTGATTGAGTGGCGGGGAACGCCTAATGCTTCCGGTGTAGGGAGATCCCTCCATCTCTTTTTCTTCTTACACAGTTTCATCGCAGATTCGCAACTCTGATAAGTCCTTGTAACAAAAAAGAAGAAGAAGAACTAAAGAAGAAAGGAGAGTTCAGGGCTTAACGCCATGCCGCGGCGTTGATGATACGCGGCGGTCTCGCTTGGCGATATTCTCAACCTTAAAATTGCGACGATCGATAAGAAAACGCCGTGGTGATTTTAACTGTTTGGCAGCAAACACCACGATACGGTTTGCAGACATGACTTGTTGCATACAAAAATATATATCTTTTCTTTCTTTTTTCATATACCATCAGGCGCGAATAAGGATGCACCTTCTACGAATGTGCAGGTGGCGTTTACTTACGATGATTCTAAGGGCACCTTACATTACGCTCCACAAAGGAAAGTGTAGTGTTGCCTTGTTTTGTTTGCGTTTGATTAATTAAACTTAATTAGCGCGTAATAAAGTCTTCGTTAATGTGCAGTTAGCCATATTCCAATCTGACATAACAATAATGAAATTTTATGCTCTAAATAAAGGCCGTGATTAGTTTTTGGCTGCATTCTTTTCGAAGAAAGGGTAGTAATAGAATAATTTTAACGTTGGTTCAGAAACGCGGCGCGTCGAACGATTCGTCAACGTCGAAGTGACTACGCCAAATTGATCGTTCACAGTCATGCGCAGCACAGTGAGGCTGATTAAGTGAAGACATATTGACTGTGCAGAAGGTTCAGTTCATCTAATGAGCTATGTTTATTGGTCCGTTTTAGGTATACAATTAGACACTATACAAGCACGAACAAATGGCACACGCAAACCTATGGCCACCGCCACCAAATGAGATATTCCATCTCGTAACTGTCATCCGTTCGGAAATTCCCAACAAATTGAGGACATGCCCTGAGCCGCTGTCAGAATGCAAGCTGTTTATATAAATGCGTCCAGGTCAGCCGGTCACGGCTGTCAGACCACTCATGATACATGTTGTGTTTCAGTTTTTACAGTTTTTTTTTTCGTTGTTAGCTTTGGAATAGAGTTACAGAAAACTAATAAGCAATGGGAGAACACGAAGAATATCCTTGTGTATAGTATATATATATATATATATATATATATATATATATATATATATATATACGAGAGACGCCATATAATGGAGGGCTCCGGAAATTTCGACCGTCTAGTGCTTATTTTATTTCGCGTGCACTGACATCTCATGGCACACGGGCCATGACCATTTCGCCTCCACCGAATGGCGACCGCCGGGGCAGTGATCGAACCCGCGACCTGTGGGCCGGCCGTCATCTTGGGGTGTATATATAGATATTTTTAAGAGAACACACGTCCGAAGAAATTTGAGAAATGGAAATGCCTCGTGGCACCCTCCTCGGAGCTGAGTCATCGGAATCACAAAGTCCAAGTGTGAACTTGTTTGTCTATAGGCTCCTATAAAGAAATTTCGATCACTCGCGTGCGTACACGTGCTCTAAGCGTGTGTCTTCACGCACGTCTGCCACGAATATACAAGTCCCGTCTGTACGCTTACAAGTCTTCACGCTTGCATGGGCGAGAAACGTATCGAGGAATTCGGAGGCTCAAACTGCGTCCCAGAAAAAAAAAAAAAAAAACGTGTGGGTACAATAGATGCCTTACGTGTACGATAACCCTGTGACATATACCCCGTGGACCCGCGCCACGAATACCTGTTGTGTCGGTGTCGCTGCAAGCTATCCGGCCTTTTTATGCGGGTTTAGCTTGCATTGTTGCACGCATATGTGTACGCCCGCGTTCAATAAGTGACCTCGTCAACGCTGCACCGGTGCTGGCCCAGTTTCTTGTGGGTGCGGACAAAGCGGGAGAGGGGGGGACTTCCAACGCTTCTCTGCGGAAATTGCGTGCAGCGGGATTGGATGCAGAAAATGGCGTGTGTTCTTGCGTATACGCGGTCGTATCTGTCATCTTGCGGCGGCAAACAAACAACGCTATTTGCATCGACGGAAATTCGGTGGTGGCGTATATGTTACTTGG